TTCACCCAGTTCAGAGTTTGCCATTACACTAAAATCAGCAAACAACAGTTTGGACTTGCTCTTCAAATCAGGATTTCAATTGACTTTCAAAACTAGTTCACAGTCCTGGTTTGGAGATAAAACAAGGAAAAGTTTGACAAGTCAAAGAAACTGACAGATTGCATGGAAGAGAAAATAATTATCTGAAATGGTCAGTTCAAGAGGCGAAAGATGCATCTAAACATAAGGCCCTTTTGGTACAAACAAAGCACAGTTTAGCATTAGCTGTGTGAACCCATCCATTGCCTTGTAGGAAGAAGAGGAGCTTTAGAAAATTATGAATGGCTAGAAAATTATGAACCACTATCCTAGACCTGAGTCAGAATAAAATAAGTAGCAGAAGTCAAAATAAAATAACTAACAAAAGTTTGTATGCCCATGTCTTGTGGCATAAGTTTTCTGAAAGCATCAGGAATTTCAGAAGGTAGAGAAAAATAATCTAAACTGATGTGTGCGAATCAAGTAGAAGATGGAAGGTTCAAGGTTCAATCTTTGGCATCTCCAAGAAACACTGAAAAAAACCCACAATGTAAAACCCTGGAGACCTACCAGCAGTTACTTTAGGCAGTATAAACTTAATAAATCATTTTCTTTGATATACAATGCAGATAACTCTGAAGTTAGTATATATTATGATAAAGACAGAGAAAATTCACATATGGTGATATCAACATCCAAAAAGCTATATAATATTTAATATAGCTAGCAATCCAGCTTTAAATCTAGCTGTGAACCTTAGTCTTTCCCATCTGGCCAGTACACACATAGAAATGTGACCACCAAAAACTTCAAACTCCAACTATTTCTAGAATCTTCACTCTATTTGTGTGTGTGTGTGTGTGTGTGTGTGTGTGTGTGTGTGTGTGTGTGTGTGTGTGTGTGTGTGTGTGTGTGTGTGTGTGTGTGTGTTTGGCACAATTTCCACTCGGCATATTGTTTGCATACTGACAATTTTAAAAAGAGAGGCTACTTTGTAAAATCCTAACTCAATTTCAGAAGAACATTATTTCTCAAGAACTCTTAAGGTTTTACACAAAAAATAATAAACTTCACATTTCTGACTGTTTTCTTAAGTTGTCTATTCAGGTACTGGTAAGAATATTTCTTCTTTAAATTTTAGGAAAAACAAACATATATCATCAACTTCCTTATTCTTCAAACAAACTACCTACAGATATTAGCTGAAAACATTCATGCTCCCCTGAGACTTTCTCATTCTGCTATCTGCTGCCAGTTATTTAAAAACACTGACTTTGATGTCTAAAGCTATTCATGTTGTTGCATGTTGCTAAATTCTTCTTTAATAATTCAAGAAAGATTAAATCCAAGCAAGTAAAAAGGACAACAGTTTTGCTAATGAGTAATGACCATTCAGGAGATGGCAAGAATAAACATTTACATCCTGGGAGTCAGTGAACTAAAATGGACGGGAATGTGCGAATTCAATTCAGACAATTATCATGTCTACTGTTGTGGACAAGAATCGTGTAGAAGAAATGGAGTGGCCCTCATAGTCAACAAAAGAGTGGGAACAGCTGTATTGGGATACAATCTCAAAAATGATGGAATGATGTCAATACATATCCAAGGCAGACCTTTCAACATCAGTCATCCATGTTTACGCAACAACCACCAATGCTGAAGAGGCTGAAATTGACCAATTCTATGAAGACTTACAACACCTTCTAGAACTGTCACCAAAGAAAAATGCTCTTCTCATTATAGGGAACTGGAATGCTAAAGTAGGAAGTCAAGAGATAAAAGGAACAACAGATAAGTTTGGCCTTGGAGTTCAAAACGAAGCAGGGCAAAGGCTAATAGAGTTTTGTGAAGAGAACAAGCACTCTTTGTCATCACAAACACTCTTTTCCAACAACATAAGAAGGCGACTCTATCACCAGATGGGCAATACTGAAATCAGATTGATTATGTTCTCTGCAGCCAAAGACGGAGAAGCTCTATAACAGTCAGCAAAAACAAGACCTGGAGCTGATTGTGGCTCTGATCATCAGCTTCTTATAGCAAACTTCAAGCTTAAACTGAAGAGAGTAGGAAAAACCACTGGGCTAGTCAGGTACAATCTAAACCAAATCCCGAACAGCCCAGATAGTGTGCTTGCTGACCTTGAGCCAGACATCCTGGAAAATGAAGTCAAGTAGGTCTTAGAAAGTACGGCTAACAACAAGGCCAGTGGAGGTGATGCCATACCAGTTGAACTAATTAAAACCTTAAAAGATGACGCTGTTAAGATGCTACACTCAATATGCGAGCAAGTTTGGAAAACTCAGCAGTCGCCAGAGGATTGGAGAAGATCAGTCTACATCCCAATCCCAAAGAAGGGCAGTGCCAAAGAATGCTCCAACTACCATACAATTGCACTCATTTCCCATGCTAACAAGGTTATGCTCAAAATCTACAAGGTAGGCTTCAGCAGTATGTGGACCGAGAACTCCCAGAAGTACAAGCTGGATTTCGAAGGGGCAGAGGAACTAGAGACCAAATTGCTAACATTTGCTGTTTTATGGAGAAAGCCAAATAGTTCCAGAAAAACATCTACTTCTGCTTCATTGACTACGCAAAAGCCTTTGACTGTGTGGACCACAGCAAACTGTGGCAAGTTCTTAAAGAAATGGGAGTGCCTGACCACCTTATCTATCTCCTGAAAAATCTATATGTGGGACAGGAAGCAACAGTTAGAACTGGATATGGAACAACTGATTGGTTCAAAATTGGGAAAGGAGTATGACAAGACTGTATATTGGCTCCTTGCTTATTTAACTTATATGCAGGATACATCATGTGAAAGGCTGTACTGGATAAATCCCAAGCCAGAATTTAGATTGCCGGAAGAAATATCAACAACCTCAGATATGCAGATGATACCATTCTGATGGCAGAAAGTGAGGAGGAATTAAAGAACCTTTTAATGAGGGGGAAAGAGGAGAGGGCAAAAAATGGTCTGAAGCTCAACATCAAAATATCTAAGATCATGGTCACTGGTCCCATTACTTCCTGGTAAATAGAAGGGGAAGATATGGAGGCAGTGACCAATTTTACTTGCTTGGGCTCCATGATCGCTGCAGTTGGTGACAGCAGCCACGAAATTAAAAGATACCTGCTTCTTGGGAGGAAAGCCATGAGAAACATAGAACAGATCCTGAAGCTGAGGCTCCAATACTCTGGCCATCTCATGAGAAGAGAAGGCTCCCTGGAAAAGATGCTGATGTTGGGAAAGTGTGAAGGCAAGAGGAGAAGGGGACAACAGAGGATGAGATAATTGGACAGTATCATCAAAGCTAACAACATGAATTTGATCCAACTCTGGGAGGCAGTGGAAGACAGGAGGGCCTGGCATGCTCTGGTCCATGGGATCACGAAGATTCAGACACGACTTAACAACTAAACAACAACAATGACCATTCAAACACTTAATGTTGATTTTACTCTACATGCAGACAGAGTGTTCTTTTGAGAAATACTCCCCAAGGACTTCTGTGCCGTGCCCCCATATCAGCTCAATCCAATCCTGCACAAGACTTAGAAATACTCCATAAGCTAACTAACACCATTATAAGTCCCAAAGGACTTCTGTGCCGTGCCCCCATACCAGCTCAATCCAATCCTGCACAAGACTTAGTGTCATACAAGAGGTATTTCTAGTCTTGCTTTTTCAGGGCAAACTGAAGCACAAAAACAGACAGTGTGCTCATTCTAAGCACTTTCTTCCCTTACTCTATCCCATTTTGTCAGATAAGCTAACTAACACCATTATAAGTCCCAAAGGACTTCTGTGCCGTGCCCCCATACCAGCTCAATCCAATCCTGCACAAGACTTAGTGTCATACAAGAGGTATTTCTAGTCTTGCTTTTTCAGGGCAAACTGAAGCACAAAAACAGACAGTGTGCTCATTCTAAGCACTTTCTTCCCTTACTCTATCCCATTTTGTCAGATGGCTGGTGCTATACAGTATGTGGTGAAAGATGGTGATGATAAGCTTTTCAGCACGAAGACTCTGTGAAAACAACTAGGCAGCGACTTCCTGAATTCTCATTAAAGAAAAGAATTATGCTTGCATTTTGTGTATGTATGAGAAATAGAAACATGCAAGAAGTTTCACTCTCTAGAACAGTCTTTTCCTCACAAAAAGTGGACTGTATTTTTCACTTTTTGATAGATACCGCAAATGCATTTCACACTGTCTAGAGGTTTTAATTCAAGGAAACTAAAGTCTCATATTTTAGAAGAACATATAACAGTTATGACAAATAAATATCATAAACATCTATTCAAGATAAATACATCTTAAAGGCCACTTCCACAAATATTCTGAAGGACATCATTTGTGATAATTAAAAGATCAATCAAGCATCAACAGTGCAGTGTCCATTTGTCAAAAAAAAAAACCTTGCAAACAAAATATCTAAAATGTAATAATATGAATCAGAGAGCTCAAAATATGCTGGATAAACAGTTTAAGGATACGACACTAAACTATTTTATCATTAATGTACAAGTTATCTATGTAATTCGCAATATTTCCATCTCACTGGGTTAATCATGGTATAATTCTGTAATAAATATCCTTCACTAATGCTAAATATATTTGCAATAATCCGACAATTTAAGCACTTTAAAAATATTTTGTTAAAAAATCCTTTTTCCGCTTTCAGTGATTATGTATTTTTCCTCACTGAAGAACCTTGCCTCATATACAGAATCACAGAATAATGGAGTTGCAAGGGGCCTGTAAGGCCTTTGAGTCCAACCCCCTGCTCAGTGCAGGAATCCAAATCAAAGTATGACAGATGGTGTCTCTTGAATGCTTCCAGCATCAAAGCACTCACCACTTTCCACGGTAATTGGTTCCATCAACTATAATATGAAGAATAATTGCTCTTCCAACTGATCATCTTTGGGTGATAAGAAAGTATCATGTTGTGATATCATATTAAGAGCTTACCTGTACATGAGAAATCATCAATGCGAATATACCCTGGGACACAGTCACAACGATATGATCCAGGCAGGTTAACACATACTGTGTTGGCATGACAATAATGCATCTTTGCAGCACATTCATCAATATCTGAAAGGAGAAAAACATCCCATGAGATTACAATCAGATGCTTAGCTGTATGTCTTCAGACACATAATAATGTGAAAGGGAAAGTACCACAAACACCCAATAAATATCCACATTTTGGTGTGAAACGTTAAGACCATTTTGTCCTAACATGTAACATTTCTTGAACTTGCTTTTCAGAAAGCTATGTAAGAAACAAGCTCTTGCTCTCTAGTAACACCTGTCTACATATGTTGGGTGAACAAGTGTAAATGGGGTACTAAAACAACTTTAACTTGATGGCAATATTAGTAATAAAGGAAATGGTGTCCAACAAAACCCAACCAGTTTCTGACTAAGTTTCCCGCTACTTGAGTTTCCTCATTACCTTGTTTTGGTACACATGCCAAATCTATTTTGTCCCAAATCCCAACTAACATGCCCCATGGTCTGCACCAGTCTCCTTTAACCAAATAGATATTGTTTACCATTACAGGCATTTATCAGATAATACAGAATCCAAGAGTGTTTCATTTTTATAACAAAATAAAATGTTCATTTTGAATTGTTACAGGAATCTTCCCTAAAATCAGGTAAGATACAAACTTGGATTCCTAGTCAGACAAAGCATCAGAATTATATTGGTTACTGAGTGCACTCCCCTTGGAGTTCCATGTGTCTCCTTACCATTAATGTAATATACATATCATTCCAAATTGCTTAACCAGCAAAGTAATAAGCTGATTATCTGCGAGTTAAGGAACTCCCTTTCTCAATGTCTTTTTAAAATAACAAATGTAAAATAGATCTGTGTTCTTGCAATTTGCCTGTATTTTAAGAATCTGAACTTCTAGCAAGCTTTCACAGCTCAGTCATATGTTTGACAGAGCAAATATCAGAGGCACAGATTCCTCTATGAAGGAAATGGTGGACTCCTTTCGAGAAATACCAGACTTGTAACAACATCAAAAGACCAATCCCATTATCTTACTTGAATAGTTAGTAATGATCATGTGCTATCAAGTCAATTTTCAATTATAGCAACCCTTTTCAGGTTTTTCCAGGTAAAGAAAACAGGGAAGTGGTTGACCATTCTCTTTTTCTAGAGGCATCCTGGGACTGTGCAGTTTGTCGGGGCCACAAAGGCTGCCTCTACTTTCAGAAGGCATCGTTTGAGTTTTATTATTATACGGTCAAAGACCCGAAAGTTCAAAGATAAAAACATTATATAAGATATACAGAATAAGTAAACTGTTAGAACATATTTATAAGCAATCAAGGCAATATATACTAAGCAAGTAGCAAAGATAAAAGATAACGGAAACCTAACTGGGAATATACAGATTGAACAAGGAACAAGACAGGGCTGCCCACTATCCCCCCTACTATTTATTTTAGTACTGGAAATACTTAACAAGCAGATCAGAGACAACGAAGCAATTAAAGGACTCAGGATTAGAGGAGAAGAATTTAAGCTACAAGCGTATGCAGATGACTTAGCGATAATACTAGAAAACCCTTTGGAAAATCTTGAAGGGTTATTGGAAGTTATAGAAGATTTCGGACAGGTGGCCGGATTTAAAGTAAACTATCAAAAAACCAAATTCATGACAAAAAACATAAAGAAAGAAGATGTTCAAAAATTAGCACAGAACTCAAATTTTGAGGCGGTGAAAAAAATTAAATATTTAGGAGTGATTATTTCCAAAAAAGCAAGCAATTTAATGAAAGAGTACTACTTAGCAATGCAGAAAGAAATTCAGAAAAATCTGGAGGATTGGAGCAAACTACAACTCACATTTATGGGAAGAATATCAGCAATAAAAATGATGATCTTACCTAAACTCCTATTCCTATTTCAAAATCTCCCAATACTATTGAATTTTAAATACTTCAAGGATTTGGACAGATTAACATCAATTTTTTTATGGAAATCTAAGAAGCCAAGAATAAAACTTAAACTGTTACAAGATTTGAAAGAAAGGGGGGGAGTGGGCTTGCCGAACTTGCTACTATATTATAAGGCCTGCGCGATGACCTTGATTAAAGAATTGATAACT